TTCAACATCGCTGGATGCAAATCTAACACTAACCAGATTTTCATATGCTGACGCTGCCTGTCCTCAGCATGCTCGCCTCGTCTCTCTTGGACGTCTAATTGGATGCCAAACAATTTCAAGGCACGGCGAGAGACACAGTTTGGAATGAAAGCGTATTGATTTTGTCAAGCTTTTGCTAACTCTGTCTCTTTCTCTCTCTCTCTCTCTCTCTCTCTCTCTCTCTCTCTCTCTCTCTCTCTATCTCTCTTTGCATTCCTTTTTCAGTTGACAGAGGCTTTTTTGTCCTCTTTTGCACTCAAGCACATTTCAATCGATACCAATTGAGATCGGTTTTGTCCGACTGTCCCTTGCTTGAGCCGGGGCCATCCCAAACGTCTCGTCGGTCATCAATCTCAGCATGTAAGCGTCACGTTGAGTCATTTTAAAGGGCTTGATGCTATCAAAATGAGCCACGGTGCATTTCTGTTGTCCTTATTGATGAACATGGAGGATTTCTGCAGCTAATGCACTATCATGGAATGGGAACTTGGTATTCAGATTTTGCTTGTATTATTTAAGTACCATTTCAATGCTTTTTTTAAAAATTTGTCTGATTTATCTACATGACGGAATGGTGGGCTGAATGTGATCAATGAAAGCAAGCTCTCTAAAATAGGCAACTTTGCATGAATGGTGATTGGAAAGAAGTAAAAAAAAAAGTTTTTGACAGTAACATGTACATCAAGGCAGAAAATATAAACTATAATGAAAGCTGCCTTCCTGCAATATGTTCACATTTGGAGTCGATCCCATCTGGCAGTTTTTAGATTTTTCCCAAGGGCTGGAAAAAAAAAGAAATGTTTGTACAAAAGTTTAGTTCCTAAATCATGACTGGGATATAGGATGTAAAAAATAAAACACTGTTATAAGAAAATGATCAACAGTGGCTCGATGTGTTTCGAAGTTTTCCAGCACAAGTGTTTTATTTGTTGTTTTATACCACTAGCAATTTATTACTTATTTATTTATTTAAAAAATCCACAAATGTAGCCAATCATCCAATATGTTTGGTGTTCGAGGTTGCTAATGTAGCTAAAAAGTGATGAAAGTTACCATGATAAACTTTATTATGATCCGTAGTTGGCTATACTTGTGTGGTTTATTATATGTGTGTTTTTTTTTTATGACTACACACACTTCGTAGCACATCTAGCCTAGTTTGACTGTTTATATACTGGATAACGATAGTGACATAAATCACGAGTCAGCCAAGGATCTTGGAGTCTAATGGAATAATGTTTTGTTTGTGCGTAACGTTCAAGCCGGAATTAAGGACAATCTGAAAGGGAAACACATTTTTCTTTCCATAATGTGATAAATTTCTGAGCGATAAAGTCCTTAATCATAGCTACAGTATTAGACACCCTATTTTTTAAGTACAAACTTTGTTATAGATGTTTATTTTCTGACTTCTACTTTATTGATTCAGTACAAAAACATTTTAGATTCCAAACATTAGTTTTCCAGCACAAAATGAACTGCTACAGAAAAATGTTTGTATGTCAGTAAAGAAAGCAGCAGATTCCATAAGAGACACTTTTCAGATAAAAACATAATGAAGGCTGCTGGGTTTCGCTGCAGAAATAAGAAGCGAGTCGACAGTCAAAGTCTCCAGAAGAACTGTGGCTGCTTCTGCAAGATGCTCAGTAACACTTACAGCTCATTTCCTTATAAAACT